AACAAATTGTCCACAAAACACTTTTGTGACTGAAAAATACTAGAGCAATAAACAATTTACTAAAAACAATTGTTAAATGCAACAGAAACATAAAATCTATGATTTTGCACAAAAAAAAAGTAACAAGAGTAATACATAAGGGCAATTTCGTGTCTAGAGACCCATCTTTATTTGGATGAAATTTGCAGCATGGTTAGCACTATTGGATAGTAAGCCAGAACCAAAATTTTCCGCTCTATCGGTCAAGAACTGCCGTAGTTAGAGGGTGTCTAATTTGGAACTTTTCACCTATTAGTCCTAGCAAAAATTGTCGTAAGGACTTTATGTAGGTATTTCTTCAATATTTCCAAATTCTTTTGTTTATATTTTTTCAAATTGGGCCCATTTTTCCTCAAAAGAAAGCTTATGCAATTTCCTTTAAGAGCTTTATAAACGTTTGATATGATGCGAGTGGGATATCTATTATAACAAATATTTGTTAACTTAGGAATAAGATTTTTCAATATTTTTCACATGTACCATTTTCATTTTCCCATATTTTATTTTTCAAAATTTACGTACTTGTATGTTCCTGCAGTCGGACAGTCCCGAACTACCTATTTAACATAACCAACGACCGCCCAGATGACTTGCTATTTTAACATGTGCTTGTCCTACTAGGAGGTCAATCGTCATCCCATCAATTATGAAGAGGCAGACCAAAAGCTTAAGTTTGTTTTAAAGGGTCCACTCTTCCACTAAAGTGAGTATTATCTTCACCCTCATTTACAAAGACGAATTAGAGCTAACCAGGTGGTTAGAAATCACTGTCTTTTCGGATGCATTCACTGTTTGTCGAACTGCTGGGATCTTAAAATTTAAAGTATATGCATATATATGTATGTATATTAGGGTGGCATCAAAATGGAAGTTGCTGATGTTCCCACCGAAAATGAAAATTTGGTTCATTCTAAGACAACATTTCTCAAAATTTTTGTCCTGACGTCAATATTTGATGACCTGGATCAAGAATAAAAAGGTCCTTTTTTAAGGTTTTTATGATTGTTATCATATTTCTTGCATGAAAGGTCTTTGAGAGACGATTTCAATGATATAACACAATTTTGTATACAACTCCAAAATTATTACAAATGATGTAATTTTTCGGAAAATTTAAAAATTTTTCAAATATTTACATAGATTTGTTTAATGTAATTAATTGAAATTATTACTTTATAAACCTGATATAATTTCATTGAAATCTATAAATTCAACTAAACTTCGATCTAGATTGAATTTAAAAAAACGGAGAAAAACCGTTTCCGTAGATTTTATTGAGAATCATTATGTATTAATTTCAAAGAATTATATTAAATTTATCTCTGTTAAAATGTAAAAAATCTGAAATTTCCTCGAAATATTAGAAAATTTCGAATACTTTTGCTGTTACACAAAAATTTCTGATACGAAATTTAAAGCGTCTCTCAAGGATCTTTCTAATGATACCAATATTTCATATCTATCCTTTGGAAGAAATATGAACAAAATAATAAAAACCTCAAAAAATTACCTTTTTATCATTTGATCCAGCTCACCAAATATTGACGCCAGGACAAAAGTTTTGAGTATCTTTAATTTTAGTTGAGAACATCGACATCTTATTTTTCCTCCATACAAACGGGGCCACCCTAATGTACATATATGTACTTATGTAACTTTTATAAGAATTCTGAAAATTTTCTTTAATAATTCCCCCACTGCTGTCCAATTATCCTTGGTACGACTGTCTTATTCAGACAAACGTAACACGACTCTTACGTAAATAGATGCGTTTGACACACGTATCTTAACATTTGCCTGCACGTGTGTATGGGTGGGTGAGTGCGTTTTCTGTATTTTGTGTGTAAATATTGTATGTGTGTATGTCACTAAAACACTTAAATATATTTAAACAAAACCAAATCTTTTTGTTGACTGCATTTCAATAATTTGTAGTAAAAATACAAACAATAGAAACATTAAGTGTGAGATGAGGTGATAGTGGCATAGTCAACACCATCACACACACACACACTGCTATTACTGGGGTCATAAAGTGAAAATGCAATTTAAAGACAAAAATAAATTTATGTTTCAATGTGGTTGTTTCAATTTCTACTATTTCACTTTTGGTTTAAGAACCCAGTAAACATCAAATTATTATTATATAATATCATATTGAATATCAGGACCCCAACAAATCTTTCTGAAAATGTAAAAGCCATGAACTATAGGTTGAGGAAGCTTTTATTAGCATTCTAAAACTTTGAAAACTTATCAGATTTGTTTACTGGGTTATAGACAAACATTAACAAACATCAGTAGTTACTGTTGTCACTGTTCATTATTTATGCAACAATTGCATACAACAAATAAATGTATAAATGAACAACAAAAAAAGAGAGTGGTAAACAATGAAATGAAGCTCCTTCATTCCTTGGCATGGGAAGAGTAAACAAATGTGCATGGAAGTCCTGGCTTGTTCATAGTTTCATTTAACAAAATATTTTGTTAGTTCTGGATGTTTTTTTTTCATTCTCTAGAAACATAAAGCAAACACCCTTTTATGTTGTGTCTGATGTCTGCTGGTGCATCTTTATTAAACATGAAAATAGAAGAAATATGTGTGTGTGTCTATTTGCGAAAGGGGAACTCAAAAGAATAAGGGGTTAAAAAAACCCCTTACCCAGACTTTCTCATACCTTAATTAGTTTTAGTTTTTTTTTGTATTTAAAATTTTTTTAAAGGGGTGTCCAAATGGGATTTCATGGTTGAATGTTAAAGTTTAGAAAAACAATTTAAAATTGTTTACTTTTTAAAAGTCTTCATCAATCCTGGACACATGTGTTTGATTAAGACATTTAAAATATTTTGAAATGTTAAATATGCAAGTATTTTAAAGAGTAAATGAAAATGGTCAAATTTATTTATAAGACTCTAAAAAATATTGCAAGTTTCTGAAAAATGTCTGTCTTTAAAGATAACTAGCTATACCCAGTGTGTTTTCCAGATATACAATTTGTTACAATTCGTCAATTTTTCCGAACGTTAATTAAAATTTTATTGCAATCTATGAAAAATTTTAAAAACCTAATAGTTTCCCAGATATACGAAATTTTGTATTCATATGGGAGGGTGCCAAGTCGCCCTTTAAAAGTCCTCCCGTTATTCTCTAAATGTTCATATGAATGTCAAAGTTCTTCATGTAGAATTTAAAGATTCTAGCTTTAATAGTTTCTCAGATATGAGAAGTCAGATCAAAACCCATAAAAGGGGACTTTTTGACACTTTTTCGTTCTTTAACTGGTACTTTTTGAGTTTTCTATAATATTGAACCTGGAAACATGAAATTAAGGATATAGAGCCCAATGTAAAGGAGAACCTATAAAAGGGGACTTTTTGGTACTTTTTCGTCCTTAAAAAAGGTACTTTTTGAGTTTTCTATAATATTGAATATAAAAACATGAATTTAGCATGTAGAGACCAGAATAAATGAGATCTTATAAAAGGGAACTTTTTGGCACTTTTTCGTTCTTTCACTGGTACTTTATGAGTTTTCTATAATACTGAACCTAGAAACATGAAATTAAGGATGTAGAGCCCATAGTAAAGGAGAACCTATAAAAGGGAACTTTTTGGTACTTTTTCAATTTTCTATAATATTGAATCTAGAAACATGAACCCATAAATGGGGTCATTTTGGTACTTTTTCGTTCTTTAACTGGTACTTTCTGTGTTTTCTATAATTTTGAACCTTAAAACATAAAATTGGACACGCAGCTTCCTGAGTGTATAAAAATCTGTATGAGATGAACTTCTGGTTGAAAATTTAACATGCACCATCCTTATTCAGCTAAAATCTAAAAAAGGGACTTTCTGTTACATTTTCGTTCTCCAATTGATATTTTTTGACTTTAATAATATTGAAACAATAATCAATCATTATTGATTGAAAATCTATGAAATATTAAACCTAGGAACCTGTATGAAAATCTATAAAAGGGGACTTTTTGATAATGCAGATATACATAAATGTATATTGGACTGACTGAATATTTACAATATTATTTATTTTATTACGATGAGGGTAGCGAAGCACACTGGATATAGCTAGTCAATTTATACAAAATTTTAAAAAATTTTCTCTTCATAGACATGTTTAGATAAATTTGATTTCTAAATTCAGTTACCCATAATAATAACAGAATTATTTGAACAGAGAAGTTCAGCCAACAATGGTAGTAGAAGAAGCAAAAGTTGTATATCACCCAAACACACCTTTCACATGTTAGAAAAGGCTTTTGGCGCCACTTTGTAAATTATGTTTTATTTAATTTTCTACACACATACTTGTACATTCGAACATGAACGAACATAAATAGTACTTATATTTGAAAGGTACTTTATTTGTTTTCTACTTAGTTTTATTTCTATTTTCCTGTTATTTCACATTATTTTCTTCTTTTTTTTTGCCAAACATACATTAACTAAGTTTGCTATTGTTGTTCAAGTATTCATACTTTTAATATTTCATTTAATTTTTTTCAATTGTATTATTTAGTATATTTAGTATTGTACCTGTGTTAACAGGTTTTATTGTTTTATGCTGTTTGATGATGATGATGATGAATTTTCCTAAACAAAAATGAAATAAAACATAACAAATGTTCATACATACAGCAACGTAAATAAAATTACATAATTAAGACTAAGTAATGAAATTCCTGCACAACCAAAAAATAGAAAATTACACAGGAAATAAACAAAGTGGTATGCAAATATAATTTAACTTTGAAAACATTTTGTATGAATATTTAATTATGCTTAAAAATAAAATTGTAAATAACAACATAAACTTGCAACGTAATAAAAATAAAATATTGTAAAGCAATCAAATTTAGTTAGAAAACATTAAGAAAATCATTTTTGAAATTAAATAAAATTCAAAATTTTATTATATTATTGTTGTTTTTATTTTTTAGGAATACAATGCTAAGACTGCCTCATGTCATATTATACAATATAGAAAATGTGCGAATTATATTTTATCATCCTCAACCTGTTACAACCTATTGAATGCCATGGAAGAATGTCGTCGTCCAATATTTCATGAACATTATGGTTAGTATAAATTTACTTTTTAAAGAAATTAATATGAAATTTTCTCTTTTTATACAAAAATTTTCGAAATTTTCTACTTCCTTTAAAGAAAATGTTCAATATTATCTATTTTTTTTCCAAAATTTTTATAAAGAAAAAATAGTTGTATATTAACATTTTCCTGTTTTTATACAAAAATATTCTATGTTTTTTCTTATTTTTTATAGGAAATTATCGAAATATCATCTCTTTTTTATAGAAAATCACTTCCAAGATACTTGGATCTAACTTCGACGAATGCCTGACAGTGGCAAATAAAGTGCTCCAGAGTTTCACTGTCCTCTTCACATGCTCTACATTCGTCTGAATCCGCACGTCCAATGTGTGTCCACTAGGGTGATCGATTATTCGAAATTTTCCAAAAACCGGTTTTCGAATAGTTCGAATAGTTGACATTTTAAAAAAACCGGTTGATATTTTTCAAATACAGAAAAAACCGGTTAACCGGTTTTTCATTATAAATAAAAAAAATATATTTTAATTTAAAAAACTTAATGTTTATCTTTAAATTTGATTAATAAAACATGGCCCGAAATGATTTTTAACAGTTTAAAAGATTATAACTTTAGATCTAGTCGTCTGATTTACATTATTTCTTTAATATAAAAAAATTAGGAAAAAAGTGGGACACTTCTGTTAAACATAAGGTACTATGTAATCCTAGCTTATTTTAAAAGCCATGTTTAGGAAATTTGCATAGGCATTCCAACACTTCCATAAAATTTAATTATTGTAATTGGAATATAATCTTAAGATTGATAAAATTTTATAAAACAGTTATCAATTTTACAAATAAATTTTTTTAATTAATTAGGAAAATCAAAGAAGTTTAACCAAAGGAGCTGTAGAAAAATATACGCTAGTTCCTCGACTCGAATATTTTTAAAATTTAGCTGTATTATTATTTACTTAAAAATTTCATTTAAATAATCTTTGAATACAAAGCAAATAAAAGTATTCGAACCCGGTTTTTAAAAAGTGAAAAAACCGGGTTATTCGATATTCGAAAAATCAACATTAAGAAAAAACCGACACTGGTAAAGCAGAAAAAACCGGTTTTAAAACCGGTTGAAAAATCGAGTCGATCACCCTAGTGTCCACTCAGAATACGTATCATCATACTAACTTCAGACTTCCTCATTTTGAGGAGACTTCTCGTCTTATTCCCATCAGGATCACCCCATAGGATCTTTGTGGTTCTACCTACAGTTTCATTATTCCAAGAGGCCTTATGGGGTTCTCTCACCCCTATTTTTAATTCAGATTTTGTTGCGACGAATGGTTTTATGTTTGTCAGGTTAACTACCTCGAGCCCCGTTCCCTTTAAAGCTATTTGCCACTTCGTTGTCGACTACTCCCGAGTGGCTGGTACCCATGTAAACCTTATCTCTGGGAGAGTATTCGGTTTAAGCTTTACTACAATCCAATACGGTCTTATATTTAATTATATCACCTGATATCGCCCTAATTGCCTGCTGGCTGTCGGTAAATAGAGCCATCCGTGTAACAACGGATTCCTACTGGTATTTGCTTTAGTGTTTCGCTTGACCAAGACATTCTATCTGGGATCAGCGTTTCAAAGTTTCCAACATATTCTGTGTCTGGTATGCGATCAGGCACGTCCGACGATTGCGTATAACCTTCCAATGTGTCCAGTATACATTAATAACGTATCCCATAGCCACTTTTGGCCAGTACACTTTCTGTCCAAAGCAGTCTACCAGATTATTGAAGCATAAGCTAGAATTGGTCTAATTACACTTTTATAAAGCCACAACAATTTGTCATAGTAGGACTAAGACCCCATTTCATGTCTATAGTTCAACTACATATCGCCCAGCACCGATATGATCCTATCCTCTATGTGGTGTCTCTACTTGCATTTCTGGTCAAGGATTACACCTAAGTACTTAACTTTGTCTGTCACCGGTATCTTCTTGCCCAAGAAGCAAGGTTCAGTATACGTAGAACTTTTTCTCTTTCTTGTGAAAAGACAGAATTCCGTCTTCGCCGGGTTAACATTGAGGCCTCTCGGTTTAGTCCAGCTCAGCCCAGCAGAGCTTCCTCAGCTCTTCCGCACAAGTAATTTGGATCCTTTCCCTTTAAAAGTCTTACGACATCGTCTGCATAGCAGACAGGTCTAAGTCCTTTCTCAGGTAGGGTCCATCCTGTGGTATACCTTTTTCCTGATAGTTATATCGTACATCTCGCAGCTTATCCACCTGTTCCTTAGCATGTAGTTGATCCAGTTACGGAGCACCCGGTCAACATAAAACTGGTCTAGGGATTGGATAAGAGTATCAGTGTACACGTTATTGAAGGCGCCTTCAATGTCAATGCATACCGCCAGTGTGTACAGTTTGTTATAGAAGGATTTACCTTCAAAAATTATTATTTCAAAGAAAATTTTTTAATCTCCTTTTATAAATTTTTTTATAGAAAATTTTTGTTACGTTTCGAAAATTTATATTTTTTTTTAATTTTAATTTTTTAGAATAATTTCTTTTTGATAAGGAATTTTTTAATATTTCCATTTTTATAAGATTTTTTTGAAAATTAGGAAATTTTTGAAATTTTTCTTTTTTTACCGGAAGTTTTTGAAAATTTTTCTTTTTATAGGAAATTTTTGATAATTTTCTTTTTCATAGAAAATTAAATTTTATAGCAAATTTTTCAAAATTTTCCTTTTTATAGTAAATTTTTCAAAATGTTCTTTTAACATTTCACTTTTATATAGAAAAAAAAAAAACATTTCATGTTATGTATTTTTTATAATTTACAGCGGTTGCGTATGTGGAATATTTTTTAAAAAATATTGAAATGTCATGAAGTTGTATTTCTCCACACAAATAATTTTATTTTATATAAAGATATATTAAAAATTCCTTAATTTTTTTCATTTCAGATTGATGGTGGTTTATTTATATAATTATTCTTTCGATCTTCTAAAATCACTTTTTTATACTAACAAACGGAACGTCCTTCTCAAATAAATAGAAAAATCCAGAAAAACTGAAAAATAGATTAAAAAAAAAAAACGCAGCACACAAATTCCAACTACAATAATAAATATTTGCATAAATGTATTTTGGCACCATTACAGCACAAACAACAGAATTAAATTCAATTTTATAGAAAACAGTAAAAAGCAAAAAAAAAAAACTACAAACAATTTAAAAATATTAAAACACAAAATTAACCTGAAAATTGTAACTGCCCCTTAAAAAACAGGATGCACAAAACTCACAAACAAATAGAAAATTATTTAAATATATACCGAAAAGATTTAAAACAATTTTAATGAAATATAAATATTTACTATAAATTATAAAATGGGAAAATAAAATATACATCATTTGCCATGTAAATATGTGTGAAAAAAAAAAACGATTGAATTCAACAAATTTATTGATTGAACTAAAGATAAAAATGTCACATACAACTGTCAATGTGCAGAAAAAAAGTATGATTAAACAATTTATGTAAAATATAATGGCGCCGAAACAAAATTGTTAACATTGAAAATTTATTTAATTTTTCAGTTAAAATTTTCATAAGGATTCTTCAATTGAGCTTTTGTCATATTTGTTTGGCATTTACCAACACTACCGAATGGTTTTTTGGTAATATGAAAAACCTATCATTTTAAAAGGGCTTGATAAAATTTTCTACTAAAGTTGCTCAAAGTCTGATCCACTTTTCTAATATAAAGTTGTTCAAAATCTTATCAAATTTTCAAGTAAAATGTTGTGCCCATACACTTTTCTGAGTCTAACCAACTTTTATGGTAAAAATTTGCTCTAGTCTGATTAACTTTTCTTGTAAGAAGTAGGGTTCTATAAATCAAATTTCGAATAATCGAACAATCGACTTTTTGTCGAAAAAAGTCGAAGTCGACTATTTTGTCTGTGAAAAAAGTCGAAAAGTAGACTTTGTTAATAAAAGTCGATAAATCAAAAAAAGTCGAATAAAGTCGAAAAAAGTCGAAGAAAGTCGAAAAGTCGTAAAAAGTCGGAAAAAGTCGAAAAAAGTCGGAAAAAGACGGAAAAAGTCGAAAAGTCGGAAAAAGTCGTAAAGTCGAAAATTGTAGAAAAAAGTCAAAAATAGTCGAAAATTTTAAAAAAGTGGAAAAAAAGTCAAAAACTCTAAAATAGTCGGAAAAACTCGAAAAAAATCAAAAAATAGTCGAAAAAAGTCGAAAATAGTCAAAAAGTCGAAAAAAAATATCGAAAAGTCGGAAAAAGCCGAAAAAAGTCGAAAAGTCAAATTTTATAAAATACTTATGTTCGAAAATCTACCTTTTATAAAATGCAAAAAGTCGAAAAGTCGTCTTTTAACTAAATGAAAAAAAGTCGAAAAGTCGACTTTTCGTTGATCAATTTTTCTAGAAAAAAGTTGCTCAGAATCTGATAAATTTTTCTAGGAAAAAAGTTGCTCAGAATCTGATCAACTTTTCTAGAAAGAGTTGCTCAGAGTCGGATTAAGTTTTCTAAAAAAATGTCCTCAGAGTCTGATCAACTTTTGTAGCAAAAAGTTTAGCAATAACCAATTTTTATAGTGAAAAGTGTCTCAAATATGGTAAAAGTTTATAGTCAAAGTCTGATCAGATTTTATACTAAAAAGTTGCTCAGAGTCTGATCAACTTTCCTTGAACAGAAGTTACTAAGTGTACGATCTACTTTCGAGTAAAAAGTGTCTCTAAGTCTGATCAAATTTCCTAGTAAATAGTTGATATGATGACATGTAGAAAGTTGACAAGAGTCTAATGAGCTTTTCTAGTAAAAGGTTGCTCATAGTCTGATCAATTGTACTAGTTTCTCAGAGTCAGGTTAACGTTTCTACTAAAAAGAATCTTAGAGTCTAAAGTATTTTTCAACTAAAGCATTGCTTAGAGTCAGATTAACATTTAAAGTAAAAAGTTGCTAAGACACTGATCAACTTTGGTGGTAAATATTTCATTAAAACAAAAGATCATTTAAGGAGCTCTACTATAGTCAACCAATAAATTCCATGTACATAATAATTATATTTTTAAATTGTAATAAAACATTGCCTACCTTTGGGCTTCTGTTGAAATAAAATATAAAGTGGCCACCTGGTTAATGTATGATCGTCAAATGGCTTTGATTTCCTGGTTAAATTATGATCGTTAAATGATCCTCTGGTTTTGATTTCCTAAAAATTAAAGAAAAAATTAAATTAAGTCTATAATTGCTATTTTACAAAACTGTCTCTAAATTAAATATTAAACAAATTCATAAAAAAGTCCCATGTTGATAGTAAATAAACCAAATAATTCAATTATAAAATAAAAAATTAATACATTTTTATATTAAAATGCACTAAATAAATCTAAAAAATACCAAAACAAAAAAAGAATAAAAATTTTGTTAACTAACACAATAAATGTCCATAAAGAAATAAGTGTGTTTTTCACTAATTAAACACAACAAAACAAACAAAAACTAAAGAAAGACTAAAAAAAACATAAATAGTTATAAAAAAATATATATTATAAATATATAATGAAAATTAATAATATTTTAATTATTTCAATTTGATTTTCTTTCATATTATGTTGCATTTACTACAAAATATTTGATTGCATTTAAATAGATTTTTAATTTTGTACTTGTGTAAATGTCTATAAAAATATGTTTATGTTTAATGGAAAAAAGGCTTAAAATGTGATATTTTGTAATAATTTATAAAATATTATTCAAAAGTTTGTGTGTATGTATATGATACAACAATATGCAATACAACAACAAATTATGTAACAAGAAATTATATATATTTAAACAATTATTGAAATATGCATATACAAGTAATATGTTTAATAATACAAATTAAAATAAAATTATTATTTTAAAATTATAACAAATTATACATAAATATATTTATTATTAAAGTATTATGTTCAAAATTGACTTAATAGTGAACAAAACAAAAAAAAAAAAAAAAAAAAAAACAAAACAAACTGAACCTAAAATGAACAGAGAAAAAGTAAAATTATTATGATTGTATATTAAGCTAAATATAAAATAAAAAGTCTAAATAAATGAATGAATAAATAGAAAAATGAGTAAATACATGTTAATAATAAACTGATGTTTTATTTCTTAGTCGCAATGTGAGCAGAGTTCAGTAGAGTGAATAAAGAGCAAATTTATATATTATTAGACTTGTTATACTGTACATTCTCCTTAAAAATTCATTCAAATAAGCTTGATTTTTTATCAACAAAAATAAGAAAATGCTTCGCGCTAACTTAGCCAAATATTAAAAAAAATTGAATCATCCACAATTATGGCCACTGAACTGAAAATAAGACTAGACTGACTTAACACTAGAACTATAACTGACTAGAACTGACTAGACTCTGAACTGATAACTGACTAGCTGAACTGAATTTAAACTAAAATATAGACTGAACTAGAACTGAACTCCGAACAATTATAACTGAACTAGAACTGACTAGAACACTAGAACTAACTAGAACTGAACAACACTAGAACTGAACTATACTAACTAAATGAACTAGAACTGAACTAGCTGAACTGAACTAGAACTGAACTAGAACTGAACTAGAACTGAACTAGAATGAACTAGAACTGAACTGAACTGACTAGAACTGAACTAGAACTGAACTAGAACTGAACTAGAACTGAACTGAACGAACTAGAACTGAACTAGAACTGACGGAACTAGAACAGAACTGAACTAGAACTGAACTAGACTGAACTAGAACTGAACTAGAACTGAACTAGAACTGAACTAGAACTGAACTAGAACTGAACTAGAACTGAACTAGAACGACTAGAACTGACTAGAACTGAACTAGAACTGAACTAGACTAACTAGAACTGAACTAGAACTGAACTAGAACTGAACTAGAACTGAACTAGAACTGAAACTAGAACTGAAACTAGAACTGAAACTAGAACTGGAACTAGCAACTGAAACTAGAACTGAAACTAGAACTGACAGACTGACTAGAACTGAACTAGAACTGAACTAGAACTGAAACTGAGACTGAACCTAGAACTGAACTAGAACTGAACTAGAACTGAATAGAACTGAAGAGAATGAACGAGAACTGAACTAGAACTGAACTAGAACTGAACTAGAACTAGAACTGACTAGAACTGAACTAGAACTGAACTAACTAAGAAACTGAACTAGAACTGAACTAGAACTGAACTAGAACTGAACTATAACTAGAAGACTAGAACTGATAGACTAACTAGAACTGAACTAGAACTGAACTAGAACTGAACTAGAACTGAACTAGAACTGAACTAGAACTGAACTAGAACTGAACTAGAACTGAACTAGAACTGAACTAGAACTGAACTAGAACTGAACTAAACTGAACTAGAACTGAACTAGAACTGAACTAGAACTGAACTAGAACTAATGAACTGACTAGAACTGACTAGAACTGAACTAGAACTGAACTAAGACACTGAACTAGAACTGAACTAGAACTGAACTAGAACTGAACTAGAACTGAACTAGAACTGAACTAGAACTGAACTAGAACTGAACTAGAACTGACTAGAACTGAACTAGAACTGAACTAGAACTGACTAGAACTGAACAGAAACTGACTAGAACTGAACTAGAACTGAACTAGAACTGAACTAGAACTGAACTAGAACTGAACTAGAACTGAACTAGAACTGAACTAGAACTGAACTAGAACTGAACTAGAACTGAACTAGAACTGAACTAGAACTGAACTAGAACTGAACTAGAACTGAACTAGAACTGAACTAGAACTGAACTAGAACTGAACTAGAACTGAACTGAACTGAACTGAACTAGAACTGAACTAGAACTGAACTAGAACTGAACTAGAACTGAACTAGAACTGAACTAGAACTGAACTAGAACTGAACTAGAACTGAACTAGAACTGAACTAGAACTGAACTAGAACTGAACTAGAACTGAACTAGAACTGAACTAGAACTGAACTAGAACTGAACTAGAACTGAACTAGAACTGAACTAGAACTGAACAAGAACTGAACTAGAACTGAACTAGAACTGAACTAGAACTGAACTAGAACTGAACTAGAACTGAACTAGAAACTGAACTAGAACTGAACTAGAATGAACTAGAACTGAACTAGAACTGAACTAGAACTGAACTAGAACTGAACTAGAACTGAACTAGAACTGAACTAGAACTGAACTAGAACTGAACTAGAACTGAACTAGAACTGAACTAGAACTGAACTAGAACTGAACTAGAACTGAACTAGAACTGAACTAGAACTGAACTAGAACTGAACTAGAACTGAACTAGAACTGAACTAGAACTGAACTAGAACTGAACTAGAACTGAACTAGAACTGAACTAGAACTGAACTGAACTAGAACTGAACTAGAACTGAACTAGAACTGAACTAGAACTGAACTAGAACTGAACTAGAACTGAACTAGAACTGAACTAGAACTGAACTAGAACTGAACTAGAACTGAACTAGAACTGAACTAGAACTAGAACTGAACTAGAACTGAACTAGAACTGAACTAGAACTGAACTAGAACTGAACTAGAACTGAACTGAACTGAACTAGTACTGAACTAGAACTGAACTAGAACTGAACTAGAACTGAACTAGAACTGAACTAGAACTGAACTAGAACTGAACTAGAACTGAACTAGAACTGAACTAGAACTGAACTAGAACTGAACTAGAACTGAACTAGAACTGAACTAGAACTGAACTAGAACTGAACTAGAACTGAACTAGAACTGAACTAGAACTGAACTAGAACTGAACTAGAACTGAACTAGAACTGAACTAGAACTGAACTAGAACTGAACTAGAACTGAACTAGAACTGAACTAGAACTGAACTAGAACTGAACTAGAACTGAACTAGAACTGAACTAGAACTGAACTAGAACTGAACTAGAACTGAACTAGAACTGAACTAGAACTGAACTAGAACTGAACTAGAACTGAACTAGAACTGAACTAGAACTGAACTAGAACTGAACTAGAACTGAACTAGAACTGAACTAGAACTGAACTAGAACTGAACTAGAACTGAACTAGAACTGAACTAGAACTGAACTAGAACTGAACTAGAACTGAACTAGAACTGAACTAGAACTGAACTAGAACTGAACTAGAACTGAACTAGAACTAAACTAGAACTGAACTAGAACTGAACTAGAACTGAACTAGAACTGAACTAGAACTGAACTAGAACTGAACTAGAACTGAACTAGAACTGAGCTAGAATTGAACTAGGTCCTTTTCAGAAAATTACTTTTACGCTCATATTTACCTTAAAATTACGCTATAGCATTGAATTCGACGTAGGACGGTCTATAAGCTGTAAATGAGCAATATCCAAATAATTCTGTAAATATATTGTTCCCATTTTCGTAGGGAGGACTATGGGAGATAAATGAAATCACGAACCGATCTTAATTATTGGGGCATCCTTTTGGTATCAAATTTAATAATTTTATATAAATAGTGAGTGAATCGGAGTTAATTATCATATGTTTATTTAATATTATTTTTGGATACTGCGAATATCGGCAACTAACAAAAAATTTTGATCCATTGATTTCTTTTTAAACTTAGAACATTATGGAGACAGACATAGTACATAGTGCAATTTTTTCACTATCACGCATTTTAAATATTTAATTACACCGAATGTAATAGTTTTTTAAATATTTACTCTCCTTCTATTTGTTAATGGTTTTAAAAATAACATATCAACGGGACAGGAATTTAAAATCAAACCGACGAAAAAATAAATAAGTATTTACAACTGTGATGAAAACAAAATACAAAAAGCAGACAGACAAACGAATTGCCCTAATAATCCAGAATTTAACAGGTCAATAATTTATTTGCTCTACTCGTCTAACATGTCAATCAAAAATAAAAAATAATAAATTCTCCCATATGGTTTCAAACAGCAAAAACAGAATGAAAAATATTTAATAAAACAAAATGCGAACAACTAATTTTAAATAACACTTGACCAATAATGGTCAGTCAATAAACACTGACATCAACACACACTCCGGCACACACATAATAAATAATGTGTAGGTGTGTATATGACAACATACAAAATACATATGTATGTGTAGATTGGTATGTAAAGAGGGTGACAATTTGATTTAAAATCCCCA